AGGTGACTGAGGGGACTTTGGAGTAGGGTCCAGGCCTCCCGCGGGCCCCCCAGCTGCCAAGCCTGTCCCCCAATTCCTGACTCTCACTCAGGACACCTTGGACAGGTGCTCAACCTCTCCGTGTCTCTGTTTCCTCATTTGTAAAACGGTCCTATGACCCGGAGGTGGCGTGGAAATGGCTCCCACAACACACGTGGAACAGGGACCCTGGTCCAGCAACTCCAGGGGCCTTTATCAAGACACCTGCAGGGCCCCCCTGGCTCTGCCGATCAGGTCTCCACCTCCTTGGACCCAGTGGTGTCTCAGCCCCGCCGCTGCACAGGCTGGAGAGCGATGACCCGAGGACCACGGGCTCCCACCCCCACCCGGGAGGGCCCGCTCACCTCCGGGGTGTTGTTCTGCAGCCACACCGTCACGAAGTAGCGATACATGGGGAACAGCTTCAGTGCAAACTGGTCCTCAGTCATCACGGGGTACACGCTGTCCTCCAGGTGCCTCAGGTAAAACTGCACCGTTTTGGAAATCTGCAATCGATTTCCAAAACTGCATCGCAGAAGGTCTCCATGGCTGCCCCGGGGCACGTGCAGTGAGCCCCGAGTGCCAGGACGCAGAACAGAGCCTTCCGGGGCGCCTTCTCAGGAGGAGCCCTCACACTTCCATAACCAGCGGGTTACTGAGATGGCCAGAGATGCTGCTAGAAAAGTCTCCTGCAGCCCTCGCCATCTGCCTTTCCAAACCCCCTCTCAGCTCCTTAAGTTTGGTCCTGCATGAAGCCCCTCCCTGTCTGAGGGTGAAAGACTCCCCGAGGGGTGCAGCACACAGGTGTGACTGGGCCCCCAGCCTTGAGGTTCATGTTGCAAGGTCAAGGGTGAGACCTCAAAGACTTTCTAACTCAGATCCTGGGGACTCCAAAGCAAAGAGTGGCCAACACGTTCTGTCCTACTTTTCTCAGGTATTGGGGACCTGGGCCCACAAAATCATGACATAATCAAAACCTGGGGCAAGGGGATCAGATATAAATGACCCAAGTCAAGCCCGAGCTGGGACCATCTCCCTGGTCTCCCTCTCCTGGGATCCCCACTGCCCTTTGTCTCTACCTGTTCACCCACCTCCTCCTGTCAGCACCCTGATCAGGCCAGACCTGCAGGCCCAGGCGGGACACTCACCACCACAGGTCACCTGGCGCATCTTGACTTCATTGGCGAGCCTCAGCATGGTGAACACGGTGGCCAGGGTGATGCCCATGTGTGGCATGAACTCAAACACTGCGAGGTGTGGGCAGAGGTCTCAGGGAGTCAGAGGATGAGGGGCATCAGAGATGGCAACACCATCGCCCACACCTCCAGTGCCCAGAACAGGGCCAGGGCACCCCTTTGCATGGGCTGGGCCACAGGAGACGGTAGGAGGCCGGGGAGGTAAGAAGTGTGAGCTGGGAGCAGGTGAAGAGGAGGGGAGATGAGGGGGTGATGCGGGGGTGCAGGGGAGGGGAGATGGGGGAGGGGAGAAGGGGAAGGGGATTGGAGGGGGGAAGGGGGAAGGGGAGGGTAGAAGGGGAAGGGGAGGGGGAAGGGGGACGGGAGAAGGGGGAGGGATAAGGGGGGGAATGGGAGGGGTAAGGGGGGATCATCGTAGGGGAGGGGGAAAGGGGGGAGGGGGAAGGGGAAAGTGGTATGGGAGGGGCAAGGGGGAGGGGAGAAGGGGAGGAGGAGAGGAGCGATGGGGGGAAGGAGGAAGGGTAGGAGAGGAGGAGAGAAAGGGGAAGGGGGAAGGGGGGAGGGGAGGGGGAAGGGGAGGGGAGAAGAGGGAGGGGAAAGAAGGGGAGACGGAGAGAAGTCTACCCTTCTCTCCCTCCCCGCCTCCCCTGCCCTCTTCCCAGCTCCTCTCCCCTCTCCCCACCTCCCCTCTCCCCACCTCCTCTCACCTCCCCTATCCCCACCCCCATCTCCTCTCCCGTGTGTCTACCAGGACTCTCGGAAGGAGATGAGGGAACAGGAGAGGAGGGAAGGGGAGATGGGGGGAGGGGGAGGGGTGGGGAGACCGGTCTCCCACCATTCCCCCATCTCCCGTCCCCCATCTCCCCTCCCCTTCCCCTTGTCTCCCCTCCCCTCCTCTCCCCATCTCCCCTCCCCATGTCTCCCCACCTCTCCCCTGTCTCCCATCCCCTCTGCGGAGAGTGAAAAGGAGACTGAGGGAGAGGGCAGGGGAGATGGGGAGGGGAGAGGAGACAGGGGGAGGGGAGACAGGGGAGGGGAGGGGAGACGGGTGGGGGAAGAGGGGAGGGGAGACAGAGATAGGGGAAGAAGACCTGGGGGTGAGAGGGGAGATGGGGGAGGGGATGGAAACGGGTGGGAGTGGAGAGGAGACCTCACCGCCCCCTGTCTCCAACTCTCTTCCCATCTCCCCTCCTGGCTCCCCGTCTCCCCTCCCCTCCCCATCTCCCCTCCCCTCTCCCCTCCCTTGTCCCCTCCCCATGTCTCCCCACCTCTCCCCTGTCTCCCATCCCCTCTGCGGAGAGTGAAAAGGAGACTGGGGGAGAGGGCAGGGGAGATGGGGAGGGGAGAGGAGACAGGGGGAGGGGAGACAGGGGAGGGGAGGGGAGACGGGGATAGGGGAGGAAGACCTGGGGGGGAGGGGGGAGATGGGGGAGGGGATGGAAACGGGTGGGAGGAGAGAGGAGACTTCACAGCCCCCTGTCTCCAACTCTCTCCCCATCTCCCCTTCTGGTTCCCCGTATCCCCTCCCCGTCCCCCGCCTCCTGTCTGCCCTCCCCGCCGTCTCCCCTCCCCCCCCATCTCCCCTCCTCTCTCCCCATCGATCCTGCCCCCTGGGGAGATAGAAAGGGAGACAGGGGGAGAGGAGAGGGGAGCAGAGTCGGGGGTGGGGGGAGAGGGGAGGGAGAGGGGAGAGGAGAGGGAGAGGGAAGAGGGGAGGGGAGGGGAGACGGGGGAGGGGAAAGGAGACGGGGGAGGCGAGGGGAGACGGGTGGGGGAAGAGGGGAGGGGAGACAGAGATAGGGGAGGAAGACCTGGGGGTGAGAGGGGAGATGGGGGAGGGGATGGAAACGGGTGGGAGTGGAGAGGAGACCTCACCGCCCGCTGTCTCCAACTCTCTTCCCATCTCCCCTCCTGGCTCCCCATCTCCCCTCCCCTCCCCATCTCCCCTCCCCTCTCCCCTCCCTTGTCCCCTCCCCATGTCTCCTCACCTCTCCCCTGTCTCCCATCCCCTCTGCGGAGAGTGAAAAGGAGACTGGGGGAGAGGGCAGGGGAGATGGGGAGGGGAGAGGAGACAGGGGGAGGGGAGACAGGGGAGGGGAGGGGAGACGGGGATAGGGGAGGAAGACCTGGGGGGGAGGGGGGAGATGGGGGAGGGGATGGAAACGGGTGGGAGGAGAGAGGAGACTTCACAGCCCCCTGTCTCCAACTCTCTACCCATCTCCCCTTCTGATTCCCCGTATCCCCTCCCCGTCCCCCGCCTCCTGTCTGCCCTCCCCGCCGTCTCCCCTCCCCCCCATCTCCCCTCCTCTCTCCCCATCGATCCTGCCCCCTGGGGAGATGGAAAGGGAGACAGGGGGAGAGGAGAGGGGAGCAGAGACGGGGGTGGGGGGAGAGGGGAGGGAGAGGGGAGAGGGGAGGTGAGGGGAGACGGGGGAGGGGAAAGGAGATGGGGGAGGGGAGGAGAGACCTCCCGCAGTCTCCATCCTTCTCCCCCGTCTCCACCCCTCCCCTCCTCCTTCTCCTCTCCTCTCCCCTTCCCTTCCCTCCCCCACCCCTCCCCTCTCCCCCTCTCTCCTTTCCTCATTTCCATTTCCTCTCATCTCCCCTCTGTCTCCCAGGACAGAGAAGGAGATGAGTGGAGGGGAGACGAGGGAAGGGGAGATGGGATGACAGGAGAGGAGACAGGGGAGGGGAGGGGAGACGGGGGGGGGGGAAGGGAGGAGGGAGGAAAGGAATCGGGGAGGGGGGAAGAGGGAGGGGGCAGGGGGAGGGGAGGGGGCGGGGGAGGGGAAGGAGGGGGGAGGGGAAGGAGGGGAGGGGAAGGAGGGGGGAGGGGAGAGGAAGGAGAGGGGAGGGGAGGGAAAGGAGGGGGGAGGGGGAGGGGAGAAGAGGGGAGTCCGGGAGACCGGGAGACCAGGAGAGGGGAGGAGGAGCGGAGGGACGGAGGAACAGAGGGAAGAGCCCTGCTCTTCCTGGGCCCGCAGGGAGCAGAGTGAGGAGGCGGGGCGTGGGCCGCCCTCCCAGGCCGCCACCCCCTTGTTGCCTCATAAGCACTCTAGCCTGACGACCAGAGACCGTGGGTGAGGCGGCGGGGACGCAGGGGACAGCCGCGCGCCCTGTCCATGGGGACACTCCGTTTTCTCGTGTACCGGTTCCCAGGGGCTCCTGACCCGCGGCCACTGCCCGCCGCAAGGCCCGCGTGGAGCGCGGAGCGCGGAGCGGGCTCAGAAGGGAAGGAGGGAGGGAGCGAGGGAGAGACCGGGGCCAGAGAGGGAGCAGGAAAGACAGGCGTGCGAGAGAAGGGCCGGCAGGAGAAAAGACGCAGGATGGGGCACAGGGAGGGGATCTCAGCGGCCGAGAGGGCCGGAGAGACACCGGAAGTGAGACGGAGGAAGGCCGGAGGAAGGCCGGAAGCGGGAGACACGGGAGCGGGCGGGCGCGGGCGCCAGGGCAGAGGCGGAGGGCTGGCCCGGCGGGCAGACGCTGGGGCCCAGTCCCCTCGAGCCCTACCGTTGCCGTTGGCCAGCTTGGCCAGGGTGACGATGACAGATTCTTCCGTGAGGCTGAGGGGTTTGAGATGGTGCTGCAGCTCGTACATGACCAAGCTGAAGTGGTTTCGGGACAGGGCCACCAGGGTGTCGCTGGCCACCTCTGCCCTCACGTAGCCGTCCATCTGCAGGGCACGGGAGGAGGACACGTGGCCGCCCCAGCAGTGCCTGCTCCTCGCCTGCTCCGGCTCCGCTGGGCTCTCCTGGGCCCCCTCAGCCTACTGTTGTCCCCGGGAGCTCACCGGACAGAGGCCTCGGGCATCCCACCAGCCCCCCAGAGCCCAGCCCCTGGGGCAGTGGCAGGTGGGCAGGGCAGGACCCCCGCTACCTCCAGCATGCCCCGCATCTCCCTGGAGGCGATGGCCACCAGCCTCTGGACGGAGCGCTCCTCCTCCTGCTGGGTGAACTCCTGGAGGATGTTGTAGATGTTGACTTTGCGCTGAGTGGAAATCTGGGGAACAAGTATGGTGGGTGGGGAGGTGCGGGACAGGCAGTGGGGCCTGGGAGCCCGCAGATCCACCACAACCTCCCTCCTGCTGGCCCTCCCCCTAATCCCTAGGAGACTGTGATTTGTAATAAGACGTGTGTTTGGTCTTCACCCAAGTGCAGAAGCCTGAAATCCTTGGAATGTCCTAAGTAATGAGAGTGACAAAGATATCTTTTGTTGCTGTATTAATGAGACGATTTTTGGTCCACACCTAAGGATGGGGAGGGCTTCCCTGGTGGCTCAACAGGTAATGAATCTGCCTGCCGTGTGGGTGTGGGAGACCTGGGCTCGATCCCTGGGCTGGGGGAAGATCCCCTGGAGAAGCGAATGGCTACCCACTCCAGTATTCTGGCCTGGAGAATTCCGTGGACTGTGTAGTCCATGTGGTTGCAAAGAGGCAGACAAGACTGAGCGACTCTTTCACTTGAAGGATAGGGAATGTTTGGCAGGAGAACCCATGTTCTGATGAGAGGACTGGAACTTTCAGTCCCACCCACTCGACTCCAAGGAGGAGAGTGGGGCTGGAAGTTGAATCAATCGCCAATGGCTAGTGATTTAATCAACTATGCCTAGATAATGGAGCCCCCATAAAAATCCAAAGGACAGGGTTCAGAGAGCTTCAGGCTGCTGAACACATGGAGATTTAGGGGGAATGGGAGGCCCAGAGAGGGCATGGAAACTTCACACCCTTTCCCATATCCTTACCCTATGCATCACTTCCATCTGGCTGGTCCTGAGTTAGAATGAACTGGTCATCTAGTAAGTAAAAGGTTTCTCTGGATTTTGTGAGCCCCTCTAGCAAATTGATTAAACTCGAGGAGAGGGTCATGGGAACCTCCATTCTATAGCCAATTGGCCAAACTTCCCACTGGCGTCTGAAGCAAGGGCCAGGCTGAGGTTGTCTTACCGGTGCACGCGTGTGTGCTGGGTCACTTCAGTCATGTCCGACATTTTGTGACGCTATAGACTATATAGCCTGCCAGGCCCCTCTGTCCATGGCATTCTCCAGGCAAGCATACTGGGGTGGGTTGCCGTGCCCTCCTCCAGGGGATCTTCCCAACCCAGGGATCGAACCCGTGTCTCTTATGACTCCTGCATTGGCAGGCAGGTTCTTTCCCACTAGTGCCACCTTAATGGGACTAAGCCCTTAACCCATGGAATCTGACACTATCTCCAGGCAGACAGTGTCAGAATTGAGTTCAATTGTAGGACCCTCCACCCACCCCGCCCGCAGCTGGTGTCAAGGGATTGTGTGACAGGGGAATCCATACATTGAAATTGGATGCCATATGATTAACACTCCAGCTGGTGATGAACCCACCATCCTCAAACCGCCCCAGCTCTGCCTGCAGCTCCAGCCTGTCGCACACCCTCCTCCCCTCTCCCATCAGACTCATCCAGCCGGCCCTGCCCCCGGGGCCTGCATCTGTCCTCACTACTCAGCAAGGCGGAGGTCAGATGGTCAGCATACAGGGTCCTCCACAGACTTGGCGCTGACCCTCTTGCAGAGTTTAAGACAACATGCTCTATTTTGCTTCCTGCATAGCTCTGGTCACCATTTTAAGTGACCTGAATGAGGATAGAAGAAGAGTCGCTCAGTCGTGTCCGACTCTTTGCGACCCCATGGACAGTAGCCTGCACCAGGCTCCTCCTTCCAGGGGATTTTCTAGGCAAGGGTACTGGAGTGGGTTGCCACTTCCTTCTCCATGAATGAGGATAGGATTGGACAAATAGCTTTTGCAACCTGACCACTCCTGGAGAGTCAGATTTGACAATGACACTCATTCAACCAGGGATGATACACCGCCAGGAAAGAAAGAAGGTGGACTCCTCTCTCCACGGAGCCTCACCTGCAAAGCCCTCTGGGAAGATGGCTCCCTCCCTCGGCCGGTAAAGAGGTCACTTCTCAACAGTCAGGGCTGTAGCAAATTTGGGGACCTCATGAGGAGAGGAAGTCAGCGAAATGTATACTTTTATCCAGTACAGAGTCTTGGTACAGAAACTAATGCTGATTTTCAGTCCCTCAGCCGTGTCCTATTCTTTTGTGACCCCATGGACTTTAGCCTGCCAGGCTCCTCTGTCCAGGGAATTTTGCGGGCAAGAATACTGGAGTGGGTTGCCGTTTCCTTCTCCAGAGGCGCTTCCTGACCCAGGAATGAAACCGGGATCTCCCGTGTTGCAGGCAGAGACTTTACCATCTGAGCCACCAGGGAAGGTGGGAGGAGAAGGGGACGACAGATGAGACGGTTGGATGGCATCACCGACTCGATGGAGATGAGTTTGGGTGAACTCTAGGAGTTGGTGATGGACAGGGAGGCCTGGTGTGCTGCAGTCCATGGGGTCACAAAGAGCTGGACACGACTGAGGGAACTGAACTGAACTCAATAGAGGCTTATAGCTCAGCTGGTAAAGAATCTACCTGCAATGTAGGTAGACCCGGTTCAATTCCTGGGTGGGGAAGATCCCCTGGAGAAGGGAATGGCTACCCACTCCAGTATTCTGGCCTGGAGAATTCCATGGACAGAGAAGCCTAGCAGGCTACAGTTCATTGGGTCGCAAAGAGCTGGAGGGAACAAGAGAGCAACTTGCACTTTCACTTTTCAGAGGCTTGTAACTCCAGTGAGAGACTCCTCATGAAAACCCCTGGACAGAAGAGAACCGTGTGGCCTTCGCTGCTCACTATTGATGGTCCTAGCTTTCTCAACCTCTTTTTTTTTTAAATTGTCCCCTAGGGAACCTCCGTAAGCATGTTTTTCCTAATCACTCCCCACCATGAAAATGTAATACCACAAAGATATTATATATCTAATTGTCCATTTCTGTGCTTTGTACATCAAAAACTAAAATTTCCTTTACACACACACATCCCCACCCCACCCCACTGTGCAAGAACCACTTTTACCTGTTGTGGAGTCTCACCCTGTTGAAAATTCATGCTCTTGGTTTTCAAAGCAAACTCAAGGAAGCCTCAATGTGCACCTAACACTGTGGCTGCAGATATGTAAACAGCCAGGCAACTTATACGCCCAGTCTTTTCTGTGGTCAAAATTAGTCTTGGAGAATATTTATGGTCACAAGAGAAAAATTGTCCAAGACTTTGAAAGTGTCATAAAACAAGCACTGAGTGGCCTCCCAGAGGCAGGCTTGGTGATGTCCCACGGCCTCTGAAGGATGATCTGGACTGTGGGAGTGTGTGTCTTTGATTGACTGTGATGGTCTAGTCTATGTCTCCACGGAGATAGAAGCTTAGTTTTAGGAAACTGATCATGAAAATGATTCCTGTCTGTGACAAGGCAAAGGAATTTTGGCTGGTAAAGAATATAAGTCTCTAGAAGTAAAATTCTCATTTTAACAGATTTTGACATCTTCGTAGCTTCCCCAGGTGGCGCTGGTGGTAAAGAATCCAGCAGGCAATGCCTGAGACACGGGAGACGCGAGTTTAATCCCTGGGTCAGAAGATCCCCTGGAAGAGGCCATGGCAAGCCACTCGTATTCTTGCCTGCAGAATTCCGTGGCCAGAGGAGCTTCATAGGCTCCAGTCCATGGGGTTGCAATGTATTGGACAAGACTGAAGTAAATCAGCAGACATGTAACCTCTTACTGGTTCCTTCACTAATTAATGAATAACTGAAAATGTCGACGCAGATTAAACCTGACAGCGTGCCTCCTTGTTTATCCCCTGTTTATTGCCACTGATCAGTTATCATGGCCTGGGTATTAATCACGGTTTTTGTAACTTTCTAAATTTCCTGATGCTTTGATTTCTTGGGGTCTTGTGGACCCGAAAGACTGCTGGGGGTTAGTCAGTTCCTGGAGACAGCAAACAGCTCCCCCACCAGCAAGCTTGTTAAACCAGTCCAGAGCCCATGCCCAAGCAGCTCCTCCATCAGGCTCTCACATTCTGGGCCTCTATGATGCCGCTGTTTAGTCGTGCAGTCGTGTATGACTCTGCAATCCCATAGACTGTAGTCTACCAGGCTCCTCTGTCCATGGGATTCTCCAGTCAGAAATACCAGAGTATGTGGCCCTTTCGGAGAAGGCAATGGCAACCCACACCAGTGTTCTTGCCTGGAGAATCCCAGGGACGGGGGAGCCTGGTGGGCTGCCGTCTATGGGGTCGCACAGAGTCGGACACGACTGAAGCGACTTAGCAGCAGCAGCAGCAGGTGGCCCTTTGCTCCTCCGGGATCTTTTCCACGCAGGGACTGAACCCATGTCTTCTGCACTGGCAGGCGGATTCTTTACAGCTGAGCCACGTGGGGAGCCCTGGACCAGTATACACCTGCTCTGATCACCCTGGGGCCAGGGACCAGACCACGCAGGCAGTCCCACACCCCGCAGCTGACTCGCTGATCGAACGTCTGGTCCACCTGCCTCGCCAGTCCTCCCTGGAGAATCCACACTCCTCCACACATTTCCCCCTTGCTCCCTCTGCCTGCTGCCCAACCTGGGGCTTTCCTGTGGGAGGGCATGGCATGCAGGCCCCTGCCTCTGGGGAGCTGTGAGTGAGAGACTAGTTTTTCAAGGCGATCCTCTCCTGAGCTGTTGGGCTCACTGTGAAAGTGCAAGTCGCTCAGTCCTGTCTGACTCTTTGTGACCCCATGGACTGTGGCCCGCCAGCCTCCTCTGTCCATGGAATTCTCCAGGCTAGAATACTGGAGTGGGTAGCCGTTTCCTTCTCCAGGGGATCTTCCCGAGCCAGGAGTCAAACCGGAGCCTCCTGTGCCTGAGTCATAATAAAACCTACATTTTAAGATCTGCTTTGCAAACCTCTTTCCTGCGCTCCTGGACCCTGACCCTCCTTTCTCATGGCTGCCACATGGCTTTCTGTGAAACAAAGCTTGCTACTGAGAACTCCTAGGGGCTTCCCTGGCAGTGCAGCGATTAAGACTTGAGGCTCCAGTGGGAGGATCCAGGTTCAATCCCTGGCTGGGGAACTAAGATCCACATGCTGCTCAGAGTGGCCAACAAAAAAAAAAGGGAGGAGGAGGAAAGAACTCCTAAGAGGAGTTCCCTGGTTACCTAGTGGTTAGGGTTTAGCACTTTCACTGCAGAGGCCCAGGTTCAGTCCCTGGTCGGGGAACCTTCCTGCCTGACAGTGACATGACGGGGCTTAAATACACACATACACAGAGAACTCCTACAGGGAACAACTCCTTTGCTTCCCACCCTCAAAACTCAAGGATACTCTAAAATCCAGCATCTCTCTAAGCGTGCTCTGCAGACCAGTAGACACATCACTTGGGAACTTGCTAAAAATGCAGAATCTCGGGTTCCACCTCACACGTCCCCTGAATCAGAAGCTCTCACGATGGGCCCCAGAAATCTGAGCTGCGACAAGCACTCAGAGGATGCTGATGCTCTGGTCCTGTTGTGCAAGGCCCAGCATGATCTTGGCCACATTCTCCATCACTCCCGTCAACACCCTCTGCCCCAGGAAACGACCTCCCCACTGGCAAGCGCCCCCGCACTCTGCATCTGCCCTGTCTCTTCTCCCCCACACCTACCTGCTTCACTTCTATTCAATATCTTTTTTGCTCGGCTCACCTGCTCTAAGAGGATGACTCCCAAACCCACCGAATCAGAATACAGAGGAGCTTTGAAAAATTGTGAGCACCCCAGGGCCCAGTTGGTCCTCAGGGGCCCCAACACCTAGCCCTGCCCTCACAGCACTCAGTACATGTGTGCTGGGTGGTGGATGGACGTGCAAGCAGGTGGCCAAGCTCAGAGAAGCGCCTAGGGGGAGGAGGCCCTACCTCCGGCACCTGCAGGCAGCGGATGAGAGCATTCATCACCACGGAAGGCTCGGTGGTGGCCTTCTCCATGATGATCAGCGAGGCCAGCCTCTTCCTCATGTCAAAACCTGCTCCTGCAGCATCCATTTTGGTTGACTCGCTCTCCATGATGTTGAGGAGGTTTGTGACTTGTTGGAAGGTACCTGAGACAGAAGTGGTGGACGTGATGGCAAGATGACTGTTAGAGGGGTGCCCCCGTTGCCCCAGTATCTCCCTGACACCAGCCCAGCCCCAGCCCCACCTGGGGCATGGGTGGGACCTTCCTGCCCACTGTACAGATGGGAAAACTGAGACCTTGGTTGGGGCTTACCCTCGAGGAGGTAGCCAAAATGAGGCAGGAGTGCAGGGAGGGGGCTGGTTTTCTTACCACTGTCCTCTGGTTCCAAAGGCCCCAGGTCCTCTCTTTCCTCTGATGGGTCCTCATGTGACTCTGTTGCTGTTTCTGCCATCTCTTCTTCAAGCTCTTTGGAGGTAAGATTAATAAAATACTTGGCATGTCACCCATTCTAGGACGACCCACAATGAGTCCCACCCTGCATAACCCCCTTCCCTAGAGTGTGGGAGGAACCTGTAACTTGGTGAGACCCATATTCTAATGATGGCTCAGTGAGTAAAGAATCTGCCAGCAAGGCAAGAGATGCAGGAGACTTGCATTCGATCCCTGGCTCAGGAAGATCCCCTGGAGGAGGAAATGGCAGTCCACTCCAGTGTTCTTGCCTGAAAAATCCTATGGGCAAAGGAGCCTAGCGGTCTACAGTTCCAAGGGTTGCAAAGAGTCAGACATGATTGAATATACACGTGTACATGCATGCACACAGGCGAGTTTGTGTGCACACACATGCACACACACACACACTCTAGCCAATCGCATATGGCAAAGGTGAGGGGACCCTCCCGTGATGGTCTTACTCTCATGATTACATTGTATCTCACACATTTCATCTCAGCAGACTGGGAATTCTCATGCTATACTTGAAAAGTAAACAGCAGTGATGTTAACTCCCTGTGTCACGAGGAACCGAAGGCCTCAGTCCTATAACCGAAAGGAACTGGATTCTGTCAACAACCACATGAGCTTGGAAGAGGATTGGGCTGCAGAAAGGTTGCAGCCCAGGTGACCTCTTGAGGGCAGCCTGTGAGACCCCAAGCAAACGACCCCACTGAGCCATGGACTCCTGACTACAGAAACTGTGAGATAATAAATGGCTGTTATTTAGGCCATTGCATTTAGGTAATCTGTCACACACTGATAGATCACTACCCCTGCTTAGGAAGGGCCTTTCCTCCTCTTTCTCTGGACAGAGAAAACTAATGATCAGTGAGGAATCCCCCTGAGCTGCCCTCATGACACCTCTCAAGGGGCTCCCTTCACACCAGCAGCTTCTGACTTGCTGACAAACACCAACACAGATGTCAACATGGAGAATTAAGACCTCCCCGATGCTTTCTCCTCCGGTCCCAAGTTTCTCAAGCTCCATCCCAGGGTCTTTCACTATCCTGTGCTCCCTTCCTCGTGGGAGTCCTTTAAGGAGTAAGCCTGGGACCTACATACTGACCTTTTCTCCGAGTTCTCTCCTGGACAGAACAAAAACACACCTCAAGGAAAAGCTCCGTTCTCTGCCCGATACACATCAACAGTAGTGTGGAGGACGGCAGGATGGGTTGACAAAGCAGGAGCCCTTGGGGGTCCTCAGTCGGGACTCAATGGGGAGCAGGTCCCCTGGCAGGGTCGGGGGTGGGTTTCACTACAATCATCACCGTAGGGTCCCAGACCCTTGGAACGCTCAGATCCAAGTGCCTCCCTCGGCTCTGTGAGCCCGCTCTTGGAGGAGTGCAAAGGTCCCGGTGATTGAAAAACCGCATTACTTTGTTACTCAGCTTTTCTGTCACCCACATGTGTGGTGAGGTATGGTGGTATTTTTGGGGAAAGTAACATTTGGCGGGGAGGTAGCGATTCACAGCCAAGTCCCCTGAGGACATAGGCATAGGAGCCTGGGGTGGGGAGGTGTGGTCAGGGCAGTTGGAGGAGACGGGTGGACAGAGGGGTCCTGAGAAGAACAGTCCTCTTCTCCAAGGACTGAACAGCTTGCAGGATGGGGCAGGGTGGTCCCACTGACAGAATGAGAAGAATACAAAGAATTTCAAAACAAGTGAAAGGACCCTGTTTCCCTGAACCAAAAGTGGGGCTCGAAGACTGTCCTTGTCATTTTTAGCTGAGAGAGAGCCCTGATCAGCAGCTTGAGCAATAAAATCATGAATTTCTATGCATTACAGATCAAACCAGTCAATCCTAAAGGAAATCAACCTTGAATCTTCATTGGAAGGACTGATGCTGAAGCTGAAGCTGAAGCTCTGATACTCTGGCTGCCTAATGTAAAGGGCTGACTCATTGGACAAGCCCCTGATGCTGGGAAAGATTGAAGGCAGGAGGAGAAGGGGACGACAGAGGATGAGATGGTTGGATGGCATCACCGACTCAATGGACATGGGTTTGGGTGAATTCCAGGAGTTGGTGATGGACAGGGAGGCCTGGCGTGCTGCAGTTCATGGGGTCACAAAGTGTCAGACACGACTGAGTGACTGAACTGAACTGTTATCAGTGAAAATACCCTTCTATCCACGTGCCTCTTCTTCTCCACTTGTTCTTTAATTTTGTCCACAACTTTGTTGGTTTATTTTCTTCTTTGTGTTACACATAGAAGTTTTTAAAATGTGGGTTTTCCAGTTGGATCTGGGGTCACACTAGCTAGGATTTCTGCTGACCCCAGCCCACTTTAATCCTTCCTTAGGTGGCTTTGGGAACACAAGCTGTTCACACCAGTTATGTTCCCAAAATCTTGGCTCCTGGGCCACAGATGCCAAAAAGAAATACAGAGACAGAGTCTGGAAGCAATAAAAAAGAGAAAATTATTTTTTCCAGCAAAAGGGAAACAGCAGGCTATCACCTTCAGAGCTGTGCCTCTGCCATGGGAATCGAAAGAAGTTTTACATCCTCTAGAAGGTCATGGTTGTTGTTTTTTTTCTTCATCAGAGTTTCAAAATAACCACAGCTTGTATCAGGCAAATCAGCCACTGGGTCTGGTGTCTCTAAAGTTATTGACCTGTGACTTTTCTGAAATACACCATGCTACAAGACAGTGTGGGCTTCCAAGGTGATGCAAGTGGTAAAGAACCTGCCTGCTAATGCAGGAGACATAAGAGATGCAGCTTCGATCCCTGCGTTGGGAGATCCCCCGGAGAAGAAAATGGTAACCCACACCAGTATTCTTGCCTGTGGAATCCCATGGACGGAGGAGCCTGGGGTCACAGAGAGTCAGACACGACTGAACAGCAACCACCCATCTCTGTATCCACCACGCGGAGAACCACAGTTAGCTGCACACTGCAGGCGCACAGTCAGGGTCTTTGGGATGGAACTGCAATCATGTCACTTGAATAATCTTTGAAAGAAAAAGCCCAGAGGAGAGTGGAAGGTAGAGCAAATGTGGGCTGTGGAAGAAGGGGCATGTGACGAGTGCCTTTGGGGGTCTGTCCCATACTGCTTAACATGTCTGCAGAAGGCAGACTGAGGAACAATGAGTGAATTTTGTGGGGATGAGTGTTGGCACTACATGGAGGACACTTGTTTTCTGACCACCTGGATTCAGTGAAGTAGAGATGGACTGCTGAGGGTCATGGGCTCCCTGGTGTGAGAGGCAGCATGCATAGGCTGAGGCAGTGCGGACAGACGCTAAGCTGAAATCTTAATTACAAAGTCTTGGACCTAGGTGCTTTGGGTCTTGCTCTGTTGACCTCTGATGCATTTGTTATTGTTTTAGTAGCTAGTTCAGTTCAGTTCAATTCAGTCACTCAGTCATGTCCGACTCTTTGCGACCCCATGGATCGCAGCATGCCAGGCCTCCCTGTCCATCACCAACTCCCAGGGTTTACTCAAATTCATGTCCATCGAGTCGGTGATGCCATCCAGTCATCTCATTCTCTGTCGTCCCCTTCTCCTGTCTGCAATACCTCCCAGCATCAGGGTCTTTTCCAATGAGTCAGTTCTTCGCATCAGGTGGCCAAAGTATTGGAGTTTCAGCTTCAGCATCAGTCCTTCCAAGGAACACCCTAGACTAATCTATAGACTGTACTTGTTGGATCTTCTTGCAGTCCAAAGGACTCTCAAGAGGCTTCAACACCACAGTTCAAAAGGATCAGTTCTTTGGTACTCAGCTTTCTTTATAGTCAAACTCTCACATCCATACATGACCACTGGAAAAACTATAGGCTTGACTAGATGGACCTTTTGGCAAAGCAATGTCTCTGCTTTTTAATATGCTATCTAGGTTGGTCATAACTTTCCTTCCAAGAAGTATGCATCTTTTAATTTCATGGCTACAATCACCATCATCAGTGATTTTGGAGCCCCCCATAATTAAGTCTGACACTGTTTCCACTGTTTCCCCATCTATTTCCCATGAAGTGACGGGACCAGATGCCATGATCTTAGTTTTCTGAATGTTGAGCTTTAAGCCAACTTTTTCACTCTCCTCCTTCACTTTCATTGAGATGCTTTTTAAAAAGTTTCTCTTCACTTTCTGCCATAAGGGGGGTGTCATCTGCTTTTCTGAGGTTATTGATATTTCTCCCGGCAATCTTGATTCCAGCTTGTGCTTCTTCCAGCCCAGCGTTTCTCATAATATACTCTGCATATAAGTTAAATAAGCAGGGTGACAAAATACAGCCTCGACATAGCCCATTTCCTATTTGGAACCAGTCTGTTGTTACATGTCCAGTTCTAGCTGTTGCTTCCTGACCTGCATACAGGTTTCTCAAGAGGCAGGTCAGGTGGTCTGGCATTCCCATCTCTTGCAGAATTTTCCAGAGGTTGTTGTGATCCACACAGTCAAAGGCTTTGGCATAGTCAATAAAGCAGAAATAGATGTTTTTCTGGAGCTCTCTTGCTTTTTTGATGATCCAGCAGATGTTGGCAATTTGATCTCTGGTTCCTCTGCCTTTTGGAAAACCAGCTTGAGCATCTGGAAGTTCACGGTTCACGTGTTGCTGAAGCCTGTCTGAAATTAGACTTCTCTGGTGGCTCAGATGATAAAGCATCTGCCTACAATGTGGGAGATCCGGGTTCAGTCCCTGGGTTGGGAAGATCTCCTTGAGAAGGAAATCACAACCCACTCCAGTACTCTTGCCTGGAAAGTCCCATGGATGGAGGAACGTGGTAGGCTGCAGTCCATGGGATCGCAAAGAGCTGGACACGACTGAGCGACTTCACTTTAGTAGCTAAGTCGTGTCCAAATCTTTGGGACTCCATGGACTGTAGCCTGCCAGGCTCCTCTGTCCATGGGATTCTTCAAAAAAGAATATTGGAGTGGGTTGCCACTAGAGGGAGGGCTGGTCAAAGAGGATGTGCTGGATGCGGGGTTGGAGTGAGGCAGGGGGCACAGAGGTCAAGGGCCCAGGACTAGCTGACCCCCTTGGCCATGGGGTCGGTGCAGCTTAGACGGCCTCGGCCGAGACCCAGACTGGGCAGCAGAGCCGCCGGGCCTGAGGCGGTCAGTCAGTGGGTCGGAGTGTGGTTCTGGAGAAGCGAGGCTGAGACAATGCTGTAGGTGGGGGCCCCCGACCATCTCATCACAGGACTGTGCAATGCCCAGGCTGGCTGACCCCAGCACCCCCACCTTACCCCCATCACCCCCCACAGGAATTTTGGGAGAGGGTCCTGTGCTGCATCATGGAGACGGACTACACGGAGGCCTTGACCCCCATCTGCGGCAGCCTCACCAACCTGGCCGAGCGCCAGCTGCAAGCCAACGACGAGGAGGCCAACTCAAGCAAGAGCAGGCACGGCAGGCAGCCCCCCTGCGCCAGCTGGAGGGACTGGGCAGGTGGGCTGCCCGGTGCCTCGGACTGTTCCCCCTTCTCCAGGAAGCAGCCTGGAGCCCAGAGAGCCAGGCCTTGCCAAAGAGGCCGCCCTTGCTGAAATCTGAGGAGGTAAAAGTCGTGCACGCTTCCTCTGGCAGCCCACTCCTCTCATCCCCACCTCCCGCCCACCCTGATCCAGACCCCAGGACAGGGATCCTGGCTCAGGCTTCCCGCAGGTGTGAGCTCTCTGGCCCCTGAGAGCCCACTGGAAGGACTGTATATCCCATTCGACTCCTCTGGAACCACCCCCACCAGGCATTCTGACTCACCGTGATGACCCACTTGTTAGCACCAGACCTTCAAGTAAGGGACCTGAACTGACCTACTTACAGGGACCCTGCTGTCCCAGGGGGCTGCTGTCATGGTCCTGGGGCTTTGAGGATGGATGTCACTGGTTACAGGAGGTGACTGCGAGTCTACAGGACCCAGTGATGGTAGGGGCAGAGCCTGCTCTGAGCATCCAGCTAGACCACCCCTGGTCTGCCTCCTGCCTGGACCCTGAGTCTAGGGCTGGCTCCTTCCTGGGTGCCGCCCCTCCCTGAAGCTTCCAGCAGGCCTGCCCTTCCCTAGCCCGCTGGTTCAAATGCTGTGAGCACCCTACTCGTGGGCTCACAGCCTCTCAAACCCTGCAGAGGGAGGGGAGGGGAGGGGGCGGTGTCTAGTTACTGTTGGCTCAAGGAGGCCAAGACTCACAGTGGGAGAGAAACATGCTCAGG